ACAACCTACAGGACTAATGGTGCCAGAAACGCCTGCAGTCCTTCAGGAGTCTCGTGACTTCATGGTTCAGAGACATTCTGGACCTTCTCGAGTTCTTAAAACTTGAGAATCACTGAACGGTATACGAGTCGCTGAAATTTAAATTACTGCATTTTGCAAGGGATTTTAGAAGCGAAGCAACACACAGGATTGGAATAAGAAACGACAAAATACATTATAAAAGAGGCTATTCTCTAACTTTACAGTAAAGATATTTATTTTCTATTCTCTGACGAGATGTATAAGCTACAACAAGGAAACTAAAAACGAAGATGAATAAAACAAGATGTATTTTCCTAATATAAATTTGACTAAATTTAACATTTGCTTTTAAATCTTTTTTCCATATATTTTCAACTTATGTTGTTTCCAACACAGACACAAGTTAACGTCAGGTCTTAATAAATCTGTGAAAACACGACTCCTCAACTTCAACAATGTTCAGTCAGGTCATCTGGATGGTTTCTATTTTTGGCTGTGACGTTTTGTCATTTATCCAAAGGACTTCTTCAACCTGAGGAGCCACCAAACAAACTGATTCCCACAGACAGCATACTCCCAGAATGGAAACAAACCTGACGCATGAACTTTGGTGTTTTGAACCACTTTGACACGACTGTCTCAGAGGAGTTGAAGGGGGAGAGGGCGGGTCCCGGAGTCCATCTTAGTACCAGCAAACTTTTTTTTTCTTCCCACTATGGAGTATGCTGTTTGTGGGAATCAGTTTGTGTGGGGGCTCCTCATTTTGAAGAAGTCCTTTGGATGAAGGGTGAAACGGCTCAGCTTTAAAAAGAAACCGTCCAGATGACATGACTGAACACTGTTGGATTTAGACCTGGATTATTGAGCATGAACTTTGGACTCCTTAACTAGTTTTTTTTGTAATCTTAAATGTTTGTTAGAATTATAGTCATTGGTATAATTGTTGTCGGTTTAGAAAGTAAGCTGCACCTAAAGCTTAATCTAAAGTGCTATAAGAGAATATGAGCAAACAAGAAGACTGTTTCTGTGAGGAAACAGTTTTATGGCATAAAGTTGTACATATGAAAAATATCAACCTGTTATTTTAGGTTTATTTCTGCAACTGTGTGCTTATATTTACACAGCCAACAGACCATTGTGTGATACCATGCACAGACAAGTTTTATCCACATGGTGCTAACAGTATTGTTCAAGCACAGATTAATAAAAAACATCTAGAGGGAGAAATTATCTTCATTTGTATTAAGTTTAATGGACTTTGTGCTACAAATATATGGTACTTGTGGCTCTAAATAATCTGTAACAACTAAAAACATTGGCAAAACTTGGATCATCGGTCCACCATCCTCTTCCCTGAACATGGCAGGGTCTGAGGAGCATATGGCAGCAATCTGTGGCCCCCTCCCTCGCTGTGCTGCCTCCATTTGCTTTTAATTAAACACATGGAGAGCCATAAACGCACTTGGGCAAAAGACTAATAATGGAACAAACTATTATGGGCTGATGATAATGTAAGGGAAGCTCATGTCTTAAGGGCAACTTTGGCCACAATAATTAAGACACATGTTTGAGCTTTCAGTCGAAGCGACCGACGATCTCCTCCTGTAGGGTTAAGAACAGATTCTGAACAGAGGAAACATTCAGAAGTCTAACATAATGTAGCAAAAGAGCTGCTTTATTTGTATAAAGATTGACTAAATTCAACATTTCTCCTCCTCATTCATGGGTTAGCCACTCTAAGGAAACAGGAACACACACAAGTTGTAAGAAGAGATGAAGTAAACGCACTAATGTGCCAATTATGAGAGCTTTACTGCCTCTAATCAACAGATTGGTATTCACACACCTTGTTCCAAATATAGTAGTGTGTATGTGTGTGTGGATTATGGAAGCGAGCAGCAATAATCCCCTCACCACATGGACGTCAGAGGCAATCCAATTTACAGTACGACACTGGTTAACACTTAGCAATACAACCTGCTGCACAGTAAGTGTCGATAGTTAACCCTCGTCTGGGTCGTCTGTGACGGACAGCAGGTGATCCCGGAGGCAGCTGGCATGAGCTCAAACACCCTGATGACCCGTTGAACAGGACACAGAGGGTTTGGAACATGAATATATGAAATGCATATCTAAATAATCTCTTCTTTAGCCCATGGATGTGTTTTACCACTCACAAAATTCGATAAGGCATATTTTTTTTGTAATTTAACTTGAATTTTGCACAAACTGAAACATTTCAGAGCCGCTCTATTGAGGTTAGGTGCAAGAAGTGGGTTTTTATGTAGAGGTTATGAGTTTCCTGTATCTTACCTGCAGCAGACGGCGTTTGGTTTGAAAAAAATGGGAAGAAATTCCCACTGAAGGAGTCAAACAGGCTGGGGCCTGCTTCATCAATCTAAAACAAATCTAATCTCAAAAATCTCATAGTTGTTCAAGTTGTCAAAGCAAATAAGGTTTTAATTGATAAACTCTCAAGTCAAGAAGTATTTGGATTATCTCACCTCCCCTTTAATCTGTTTTCAGGAAACAACACAGCAAATGACTGATTCATTGAAAGTTTTAATGTTGTTGGAAGCACTGGATGCTAAGGACTACTGTGCTGCACTGTACTTAGACCTGTTCAAAGTTTTTGACACTGTGGACCATGACATCTTGTGTCATAAGCTCTTAGAAATTGGTTTCTCATATTGGTTAGTTCTAATTATCTCTCAGATCAGAGACAATGTGTTCAACATAATGGTACTTCTTCCAGCTATCTGTTAACGGTGTACCACAAGGTTCAGTCTTAGGACCCACCTTCTTCACAATCTATATAAGTAATGTAGGTCAGATCATTCCTGATGCATCTTTACATTTATATGCAGACGACAGTAGTTTATTTTCGAGCTGAGCCTGGAACAGTTGCTAAGGGTTTTCAGCTCTTACAGTCTGCATTTGACATCATCCAGTCAGATTTGTTTAGTCTCAAACTGGTTCCAAATGCTGATAAAACCAAATGGATTTTGTTTTCAAACAGGAAGTTGGTACCAGCAGTTCTTCCTTCTATTTTATCTTTGAATGGTGTCCCTATTGAGTTTGTCGATTCTTATAAATACTTGGGTATTTTGATCGGTTTGCATATCTCTTTTAAGCCTCATGTCACGTCATGTTGAAAACCTAGTAAAGAAAGTGAAAGTTAAACTGGGTTTCTTTATCAGAAATAGAGCTTGTTCAACTCTGAATGCTAGAAACTCCTTGTAGCTGCCACTTTCCTTCCCTCCATTGATTACGGTGACATTATTTACATGAACGCTCCTACAAGCACCCTGCAGATGTTGGATGCTGTCTATCACGGTGCATTAAGATTCATAACTGGCTGTAACTACCGTAACCATCACTGCACCCTGTATTCACTGGTTAACTGATCATCATTAACTTCACGCAGACTCTCTCACTGGCACATTTTCATCTTTAAATCACTTCTTGGTCTGCTGCCTTCATACATCTCCTCCTACACGTCATGTTGTCAGTGCAGCTACAGCGTGCGCTCTCAAGACGTCATTACATGCAGTGTACCTCCAGTACAGACCAAACTGGCAAAGGGCCTTCTACTACTCAGCTCCCGTTTCCTGGAATATCTTACAAAAAGATCTGAAGTTGCTGACCTTGTCTAAGGAATTTCAAACATCTGCCAAGTTCATGGGAAAAACCAACACAGACATTCCTGTTTTTAGTATTTTACATCAATTTATAATGTAACTGTTTTATTTAATTTTTTATTTACTTTTCATTTTATATGCTTTTATATGATTGACTATTGTTGTCTACCTCATGTGTTCTTTGTATAAAACATGTCTCTCTTGTAAAGGAGTCCTTGAGGCACTAACCTGTATAAATAAAGGTTGAATGAATGGTGACACAGCTGTAGGACGGTCTTGTAGAAGAGATAAGTGATTACATTCTGATGGCATATCAAATGGCCATTTTAGCTCATAAAACTATATCAGACTCAGATTGGTGCCACTGTGACATATTTACTAAAAACTGGCTTTATAAAACTTGTACAGCAGACTCCCTGCCGTCACGCAGTGACCATAGCAAATGTCTTGTCTGTTGCAGGTATAATACTGACTACTCATGAACTTTTTACAGAAAACTGCTTGGAAAATAAATCCAAACTCTCTTGTTAAGGTCAGTGCTTTCTCCGATTGAGTTCACTCATAAGATCCTCCCCGTTTGGATTTTAGGCCTGAAAAACTAGAGGGCGACAGCTGAGACAACTAAACGTGATTCTCTCCCCAGTCTAACTTTTGGTCACGGCTAACTGGGTATTCATCTGATAGTGGGTAGAAAAAAAAAATCATGCACTTTCACCTCATTTCTTCTTGACTAATATGACGATGCAAGCCTTTTCTGAGCCAGTGCCGTGTCAAATCTTATTTCAGTGGGACGCATTGAGTCTTTGTTACAGAAAAAAATATAAAAATTAAATGAAAATACAACTTAGACTGACGGAAATGTTATTAGCTGGGCTAAAATCCATACCAGACCAATATAAAATGTGTCGCTAAACTTCTATGACTCCCTCTAATGTGAAAATAATGACTTGGCTACCTCACAGTAAAACAATACCCAACCATCAGCTGCTTTCAATAACTGCATCTTCAGACTTTTGGTAAGCAGTTCCCAACTTGTGGAGGCTGATCCAATAAAGCTGGACTTCAGTGGTATTTGTTACCAGGACAATGAGCATCTGTGTTTGAATACAACCTCACCCATTACCATCCAACAATCCAGAGGAGGATGATTCTAATCAACCTCTGCGACACATTGTCATTCATTTTGAACGTTAAAACTGACGGAGAAGGAACTGTTCAGCACTTCATCACCCATGTGTCATTATCTGGAGGAAAACACCAGCTGCTGATGCCAAGAACTCACTGAAACACTTCTTTATTCCAAATGTAGGGTCAGGTCAGCCAAAAATATCACATGCATACATTGTTTTTGTTAAGTTCTAATTCTACATTATAGACATTTTTATATGCAACTTACTCTAGCCATACAAAATATAAAAATATGTGAGGCCTCATTTACAACCTTATTTACACAGACTTCCTTAATTTAGGCAAGATCATTAATTAAGTTATCTATGTACATATTAGGAACTTAATTAGTATCCAATCTCCTATCTATAGATCACACTAAATAAAAATGTAAAACTGGATCAAACAGATGCGGTACACATTTAGAACATGAAGACTCAAAGGGATTGCACATCAGCTGTAAATGTTCGTTTAACACTCAGGTGATATGAAACACTAAAACAAATAAACTCTTCTTGCTGAATCAGAGCTTACCTTTAAACAACACTGAACACTGAAATGTTATTTTGTTCTTAATGGCGGACGTTAGTGTAAGAAGAAGAAGAAGGAGGAGGACGTTAGCGTACACAAGCTTGTTGAAAATGTGCAGATGTTAAGAGATGATGCAGTTCTTGCTTTTTCTGCGTTTGCGGGTGTGCAACTGTCCACTGCGGTTAGGTCCCCCGTTCCCCGTGTTGTTGAACTTATGGACCAGCTCCTGGTTGCTGAGGTAGCGCAGCTGGACGGGCCTGGGGATGGGCTCACCCAGGAAGTAACCTTCATCCTCTGATTCGGACGAGGAAGAGCAAGTGGAGCACCAGTCATCGTCGTAATAATCATCCCAGGAGTACTGGCTCAAGCCGGTGCGTCTGGTGGGCCCAGGGTTCTGCAGACACAGGTCTGAAGTGGTCCTAGGGCACTGCCTGAAGAGCTGGGGCTGGTATCTTCCCCCTCCTCCAACTCCAAACTGTTCCCTGGCACCCCTCGGTGGAGGAAAACGGTCGTAGTCTTCTCGCACACGCAGCTGCGGTCTCTCCTGAGGTCGAACCGTTCGCTCGGCCACCAAGTTCAGGGCGTTTTCCGACCGAGAGCGACGGGATCTTCTCTGGCGATGATGATGTCGACGCCTCTGAGGAGTTTCCTCTTGAGCATCTGCTCGGACGTTTGCTCCCCTCCCCTCGACGCCGCTCACTCTGCGCTCGCTAATGGGTGGCAGCCGGGCAGCATTAGCGCTGCTCACCAGACTAATCCTGTCCTCCTCCTGGTAGGTGAAGCCAGGTGGTAAATGAGTCACACCAACCCCCACAGCAGGGGGGTCACAAAACTGCACATGGTACTGAGAGGACCTGGGGACGTTTATCTCCATGTAGGACTGACCTGCATTCAAACTGTGAATGGACTCAGAGCTACGAAACTGCACAGAAGAGCTGAGGGTGTCCATGTTACTTTTCTCTGACACATTCACTCCAGAGTCTTTGCTCAAGTCTGGCATAGAGAAACGAGAGAGGTGCTCCTGAGGTTTGCCTCCATCTGCCGAGTTACCTGAAAGGAAGAAAAAGAGGTTGAAGTTTCAACGAGGAAACATGCAAATCGTTAATTAGACAACAAGCTAAAAAGAAGCTCAGTCAAATGTCTAACCATGACGAGGAGCAGACCCACCTGTGGCGTTGGACAAGGCCAAGGACTCAATGGAACCTCTCGGGGTCTGCTCCAGCGGGGTCAGCTGTTCGGTCAAGTTAAGTGCATTAATTGGGTTCCTGCTTCTTGCCACTTGGGCTGTTGTTGGAGCCCCTCCATCTCTGTCCCTCTGAAAGCCGTGGAAACTAATGGAGCGCTTGTCTGACGAGAAGCCATTGTGGTGCTGGGAGCAATGGGACACCTCGGTAAAGCTCTTTTGGGTTCTCAGTTTGGGGGGGTAGTACTCCTCTGGAGCTGCCGGCTGGAACCACGTCTCATTCAGAGAGTGGCCCTTCGTAGCTGAGATGCGGGGGCGTTTCAAACCACCGTTCTCCTTGATCCTGTGTTCCTGCTGTTGGTTATTCTGTGCAGAGCAGGGGGCGTTATAGGCGCTCCTGACATTGCACTGGCTCAGCAACTGGAGGGGAGTGGGACTGGCTGTTAGGTCAGACTGGGATTTGTAACCGTAACCATCACCCATGTGCTCCTGATTCTGCCAAGAGGGCGGCTCACGGGTCAAACTGGCCGTTTGGCTGGAGAGACTAAGAAGGTCCATTTGTAAAGACAGCGGGTCCACTTCTCCTGAATACCTCTCAGGCTGCCCCCCACCTGCTCCCTCTCCGCTTTTTGTCGTTTTGGTGCTGTGTCTGGACTCTCTGGTGGAGCGAGCGCTTTGGAAGGCAGAGTCAGCAGAGTCTGAGCCGTTGGGCTCTTCTCCCAGACTGCAGGAGCGGGAGCAGAAAATCTGACCCTGTTTGGGCAGAAAAGGCCGGCCCAGCAGAGAGCGTTTACAACGAGCGCAGCAGAAGCAGCCCTCTGTGGCGTGCCAGTGTTGTCCATCATACGTCATCTGGCCTTGATCAATGCCTGCAGGACGGATTAGTTCATGAAGCCACAGGTTAGTCACAAAATGATAAATATATAAATAATATTCAGATAAAGCATGAGTTTGAAGAAACAAATGTTAAATCTAACTGCACTGAAGGAAAGTTATTGTTTCTCCAAAATAAGGCCATTGAAAGAGTTCTATACGGATTATAAAGTTAGCACAGCACTGAACTGCATTTCAACAATTTTGTTTTTACCAGTTTTTTGTTTTTATCATTCCTTCAGCATTACATCTGGTTAGACAATAGCACCTGGCGATTCTGTACTTTTCTGTTGGACAAATATGAGCAGAAATCTTTTTTTGTGCATAAGATATATATTGACACACATGTGCTAATAAAACAACCCTCTCTCTTCTCTCAGCAGGGCAGCATTAATAATTGTATGAATGTTTACGAAGCATTCACACAATTGAGATCCATTTTTCTTCCGTACGTTTTTCAGCATCTTTCTTGTTCCACAATTTTTGTGCTATTTCAACAAAACATTTATCAAAACATTCAGCTCGCTCAGGAGAAGGGTGATATGACTTTTGGTATTGGTGCAACTTTAGCTTTTTGAAATATTTAGCCTTTTCTGCCACTTTTTTCCTTATAGAAAATGAACTGATCACATTTTCCATCCTTCAGATCTTTAGATGAGTTTACAACCTTTTACTGCTTCTTCCACATTTTGTTCAGCTTAAGCTTCTTTCAGCTTCTTTGTGCAAATTTAAACCTTTTTCAGCTACTTTCAGCTAATTTCAGCTGTTCTGTGATCGTTTTAGATTCTTTCTGCTAACTACAAAATTTTTATGCTTCTTCTAACATCTTTCTGCTAATTTAAACTCGTTATACTTCTTTCAGCTTTATTCACATTTTTCTGCTATTTCAGCTACTATTTAGCTGTTTTTATACAAATTTAAGCTTTTCAGCTAATTCCACTTTTTTTGCACTCATTTAAACTTTTTTCAGCGTAATTCAGCAAAAACATGCTCTCTCCATTTTTTGTAATTTCAGCTTCTTCCTGCCTTTTCAGCTACTTTTCAGCTGGTTTTTGATAATTTCAGCTTTTTTCAGATAATATCCACTTTTTGTGCTCATTTCTGCTTCTTTCAGCTTAATTGGTCAAACATGTTCTTTCTGCTTTATTCTGCTAATTTAAGCTTGTTCTACATTTTCAGCTACCCTTTTAGCATTTTATCTAATTTTAGCTATTTTCAAATAAATTTGTGTCTTTTGAGGTAATTTCTGCTACTTTCAGCCTAATTAACTTATTTTTGCTTCTTTCAGCTTTTTTACCAATAGTTTAATCTCCTTTGTGCCTTTTCAGCTACTTTTCAACTATTGTTTGTGAATTGCAGCATTTTTTTTTTTAGCTAATTTCATAATTTTCGTTCTCATTTTTGCTGATTTAAACCTAGTTAATCAAATATGTGTTCTTTCTGCTTTCTTCTAATTTAGGCATGTTCTTCATTTTAGCTACATTTCAGCATGTTTTTAGCTAATTTCAGCTGTTTTTCACCAAGTTCTTCTGCAATAAACATTCACACTACATTTTCACCAGAAATGCAATTTCTCCAGTTACTGATGTAGATTTGACACTTTGTTTTAGCTCCCAAGATAAAAACTCTTGATGTAGCAAGTGTTGTTCCTCAGTTCGGCCACAAGCTGCGTGACGACTCCAGTACATAATCTCAGATGCTGTACTATAAATATGAGTATTCCATTACAAACAGCATACCAATGTGCTCCCCACAGGAGTCGCAGTACTCTGCGTAGAGAGACTCAAAGCAGGAGCAGCAGTAGGGCCGTCCCTCCTTCATGATGTAACGCTGACCCCCCAGCACCGCCTCACACTCAAAACAGCAGAAGTGCTTCATGTGCCAGTGACGGCCCTCTGCCTCCGTGCACTCATCCGCAAAGATGATCTAAGAAAGGAGACAAGGAAGAACACCGTTTATCACCGGCTGGCAGTCTGGACATAACTCCGTGTTGAATGACAACACAAAGACTTTTCTCTCGTTCCTCCTAAGTGCACCACTTCTCCACTGCTGATCAGAGCTCACCCTCTTTGTCTTGGACTTGTGGTGGAGCCTAATGTAAGTGGGGACCTGGTGAAATCTAGGTGGTGCATTTGCAGTTAATTGCACTACTGTTAATCCATCGGGGTACCTCTTAAGTACTACATTGTCCTTGTTCCCATTTGTACAGTAAGAGGGTAATTCACTGTTAATGTTTAAGAGATCAGGCGATTGGAAGCCGACCCCATTAAAGTGGAAAACCCGTGAGCATCAGATGACAGCTGTTTGCTGTGTGAGTGCAGACACTGTGCGCGTTTGTAAATGTTTTATAAATAGTTCTACGGACACAGTTACATGTGCTTCTATTAATATGTACTGATCTGTGTGCAGGCATGTTGTGTCTGCATGCGTCTACCTCGTCGCAGGCCGTACAGCGAGGCTTCAGCCTCTCAGCGTGGTGCCGGCCGCAGTAAATCTTCCCGTCCTGGTAGAAGTAGATGAGGTCCACCAGGAGCTCCTTGCACAAGCTGCACACAAAGCAGGCAGGGTGCCAACACACAGCGTGCCCCGCTCGGGATGCAAACACAGCGATGTCGCCACCATTTATCTGGCCACCGCACTGGCAAGAAAGAACACGGAGAGAGACAGCACATTTTGATTTGCTCTTATTAAACCCCAACATCCTCTCCTTCAATCATTAAAACAAACGAAAAAATGCATCAACCATTTATAGTTTTCGAACAAACAAGATTTTCAGGGGCCACTGACAACAATATTATATGCCATTGTCAGCTCCAAGTGTCACAAATGTTTGCTGGTATTTAATGACAAGAAAATGATGATTAAACCAGCAATTTAAATGTTGAATGTTTTGAAAAGTAAGATTTGAAAAACTCAAAAGGAACTAAAATCTTTTGAAATGCCATTAACATCAAACGTGAGCATCATAATCTTGATTAACTGATTAGCATCGACCTTCACAAGTTCCTTTAATATTACAACACAGTCACACGGGAATCCGAAACATTAAAATATTTAGTTTTATCCATTCATTTATTTAATTTTTGCTCATCCAAGGCTGGGTTGCTGGAGTAGTGGGTCAAGGAGAGAAAAATCAAATACCCCTCTCCCCAGTTCCTACTGGGGATCACAAAGGGGCTTCCAGACCAGAAGGGAGCAGCTGTATATAGTCCCTGCAGCAAGTTCTGAGTCCGAGTCTCTTCCTTGTGGGACATGCCCAACACACCTTCAAAAGGAGGCATCTTAAGAAGCGGCAACAACTCATTTCATCATCTTGTATCAAGGTTCAGAATCAGAATAAGCTTTATGATCATTGCACCGAGATACAACGAGAACGTGTACGTACAGCCGTCTGAAAGATGGACGGAGCGCACGAAGCTGCTGCTATAAAGCGCTGCCTTCTTATTCTTATTCAGAATGCATTTTTTAAGATAGAAAAGAGGACAAAACCCTGAGGAGAGGATAGTGGAATTACAAAAAAGATCTCTTCACACCTTGTCCTAACAAGGCAAAAGTTAAGACATCAAAAAAAAACTCTGCCAGCAGCACATTTAGGAACACGTACATATGCATTTACAACGAGGCGGTCCTTGAAGCCTTAGCTAGTCCATTGTCCTGATAAGATGATGATCAGCTGGCACAGTTCTAATAAGACTCCACAAAAGGAGGGGAGGAAGGGGGGGTTGCAATAGACAAATCTTTTCCTTAGTTTACACATTTCTTGTTCTTTCATTCAGGGTTCAAATCTCATGTCTGTATGAGAGGAGACATCAGACAGACTGAAGCAATATCATCATTCCTGCAGAAATGCAGAAAAATCTGAACTGTCAGTCTGTTTTTCTGTATTCTGACCCCCCACCCCCCTTCTCCCTTCTTCAGGGGTCACCACAGCGAGGGAACTTGCACAAGGATTTTGCAAATGTTTTATGTCAGATGACCTTCCTGACGCAACCACGGACTGCAGCTGCATCAGTTCTCTGTGTGGAGCAGAGAGCTGATGTGTAGGGCATCTGGGGGAGCAGATGGTGGGGGTTAAGAGCCTTGCTCAAGGGCCCATAGTGGGACAAATGAGGGTGGAGACAGAAATGCTTTCCATTCTGATTATTCAATTTAACTAAATCTTATAGGAGGAAAAGAAAAGCTTCCCAGCAACAGCGATTATTCCTGGAAGTGTCTGAATGTTAGAATCATCAGAGAGTTTACTAATGAATAAAAAAAGCTCTTCTGCTCAGAGGCACCCCTCTATTATAAAATCAGAATCAAAGGTGAGCCTGGTCCAGCTCATCAAATTGATGCATCGCTATCGGGGGCTCCACTGTACATGAAAGGTGGACTAAAGTGAGAGTGCACTGGTGTGCCTGGAGCTTGTGCACGCAAAGAGTGGAGGCTGAGGCGTGATTAGAACGAACCGGACAGATCCACTGTGGGGTAAAACTGAGAGTGAGGCCAGTGCAGAGGTGCAAAAGCAGAGAGGCTGCAAGATAAACAACAAAGTTCTTTGAAGACGGGCTTTTAGCCAAGTTGATTTAGGGAGGCAGGAGAGAGGAGACGGATGTAGAGGAATCACGTTATCTCTGATGGCTAACACCAGCTGCTGTAAGGAGACCAAAAAAGGATGAAGAATTCAATCAATAAACACTTCCCCTCACATTCTGCTACCTCATGCACCACATAGGAGCTTCTGTGTGTCTCTAATAACTGGATGACAAATAAAGTAGAACTACACACACTGGTCGATGCTGAAGTGTGCAGGTTTGTTGTTGCAGGAATGCTCCATTGCTCTCAGCAGTCCCATAAGGATACTAAAAGACTGCATGTGGGCAATATATCAGATAGTTCACAGGACATCAGGTACTTCTGTGGAATAACAGGGCTGTTTTAATGCTGACTCTGAGGTATTGCTACATTTTATATCAAACAAATACAGGCAGTGTGATTGCTGCAGCCTGACAGTTGGCGTGGCAGAGAGGAAAGTGAGATAACATGAAGACAAATCATCAAGAACCTCAGACTTGGAGGTGAGACAGAAAAGGTCACGACTGATACAATTTCCAGCCAAACGTTGAGTCTCTGCCCTTTACACGTCAACATAAAACAGCCGTCGTCCATCAGAAGAGCTGAAATGGCAGCGGGACGTTCGGAGTATCAGTCACATGGTTCACACCTTTGATCGTGTCACATTAATTTAATCCTGTCAAACATTTAGACGAGAAAGAAAAATGGTTTTGATGTTTCCATCCGCTACCTGTTCACAGATCACCCCCGTCATCGTAACGGGGAAAGGGCGAACATTGCCACGGCCGAGGTTTTCCCGTTTCCTTTGGTTGCTGAAGAGCTTCAGTTCTCGCTTCTCCTCGTCATCCAGGCTGTTACAGTAACGTACCTACACACACACACACACACACACACACACACCTGTTATTATTACCGTGCTGCCTGGAGTGTGATGCAGATGGCAAAAATCATTGAAAAAATAAAAAAAAAAACCTACATTGTTCATTTTTTTGTTCAAACATAATAAAATGATAGAATTGCACCTGATCTGATTGAACAGGATTTCAAAACATTTAAAAATAAATACAAACAATTTTTTTTTTTTTAAATCTGCATTTTTAAATATAATTTCTAAAAACACACAAGAAAGGTTTAAAAGGAGAATTTGGATATAACAAGTTTTTAAAACAACAAGAAGTATTTTCATCTCATTTCAAAACTCAGTACTGATCACTTTAAAACAATTCATCTTATTATTATTATTATTTTGTGCTACTGTAGCATACTTAGTTACCTTCCCCCTAAAATTCCCAAGGTCTTTATTTAAACTTGATTTTCTGACTGGACACCTGATTTCAAAGCAGGATCATAGAAACATGTTTACTATATGTAGGGGGGCGTTTTTCTTTTAGGGGTTTTATTCTTTTATCATATAAACTGTAAAGCATTCTGCACTCATCTTAATCTATATAAAATGTTTTAGGTCCTATAAAGAGCTGTATGATTGCTCCTCTTTCATTCATTCACAACAGCTCGTTCTTTTTGTATATTTATGTATCTTTACATATTTGCAGCTCATTTTCTTTCATATTCTGGCATAGGGACACTTTAAAATGTAGTGACAGGGGACATTTTCTGAGTCCAAATGGCAGATAAATACATTTTATAAATTCTGAACACAAAATTTCTGTCTCTCACCATCCTCTGTATTTTGCCAAAAGTCCACTCGTCTCACTGCTCCACTTCTCAAACAGGAGGTTTCTTATATTTTACACAACACAATGATGAAAATGACTGATGGTGAGTGTTGCTCACATTTTTGACCCAGGAGCCTTAAATACCTATAGAGCAACTAATTATCTGCATACCAATGTTTAAGTCAATCTGCCTGTTTTAGCAAACTAAATTTGTTTTTTGGCGTATAAACTTTGGCAAACACCCAGTCTGCTTTATTAGTCTTGGTGGTACAGAGGTATTCAAGCCAAACTCAAGCTTCCTTTAAAAAAATCTGCAAATATTTTAGATTTGTGAGCCAACACAAACTCCTCATCGTCACTGCACTCACAGACTTATCACTCACCTCCACAACAGCTCCATGATGGTAAAACCCATTAAAAAGATAAGCCAACTAAGGCCGAGTGATAAAAAGGTTGCAACCTTCTAAAAGAATGCACCTTGTTCTTGTGGAAATATTAGTGTCAAGATAAATTCTGGGTAATGATTTATGGAAGTAACAAATCTTATTAGGTAGCTACAAACATCGCTCCATCTTATGCCCATTAAGAAGACATACTCCATTTCTCCTGTCTGTCTTCGTTCTGCTCCCCTCTTATCTCTGTAATGCCCTGAAGAAAGGGTGGGAGGGAGGATAGATGGATGGAGGTGGGGGAGGGTGTTGGTCTGGACTCTTACCTCATTGTCGTGGGGCGGGAGCTGATGGAGCAGCTGTTTGATGCGGTACTTCTCTCCTGGGCTGTTCACGTAGGGCACCTTGTCCTCGGGCAGGGAGTTGTAGTACAGATGAACCTGAGGAGGACGAGACGCTGAGAATGACGGAGAACCACAACACACTTGCAGTGTGCGCACAAACTGTAACACAAACTGTTAGACTCATGAATCTCTAATCAGGATAATCACTGTGAAAAAATCACATGTTGCTGCTGATCTGTTTCATGTTGCTGCTGATCTGTTTCATGTTGCTGTGTTCATGCATGCTCATCTGCTCACACAGACTCATGTTCGTGCTGCTGTTTGGCATATTGTTTTTATACTACTAGTGCTTAGTGTATTTTTAGTTTAACATTTTTTCTTAGATCATATCTTAGATCTTATTACTGTTTTTCTTTTACATTTTAATTAATTAATTCATTCATCTTTTATTTATACAGTTAACCCCATTGAGCCTTGGGGACTCATTTACAAGAGAGACCTGATTTTAACAAAGAGTGATGACAACAGTGGTCAACAATGCCAAAAACAATATAATATTAATTATATTATAATAATTTAATACTTTTGTTGGCTGTAACTGGGACCCTGTACACAATTTCGTTCCACCACATGTACCACATGTGATGTGAATGACAATCCTTGAAACTAACCAACACAACAAACATATTCTATAGTTATTTCTATTGTCAGTTAAGTGTTTAATTTTTACAGAGTCAGCATTTGTTTCATTTTGTCTAATTTTTTTTATTTTATTACAAAGAAAACTCAAAATCCATTCATCATCTTTTACCCGCTTCTTCCTTTTCGGGTCGTGGGGGTCAGAGGTGCCCATATCCAGCAGTGACTGCGTGAGAGGGGGGACACCCTGGACAGGTCTCCAGTTCATCACAGGGACACAGAGATAAACAACCATTCACTCTCTCACTCACACCTAGAGACACACCCGGAGAAAACCCATGCATGCACGGAGAGAACATGCAAACTCCACCCAGAAGGGCCCCCCAGCCAGGATATGATCCAGCAACCTTCTCACTGAGAGGTGGCAGCTCTACCAACTGAACCACCGTGCCGTGAAAACTCAAAATCTTAGATACCATCTATATAACTTTAATTTTTAAATTTTTTATTATTGTTAGATCTGATTACATTAAAATCAAGATGTTGATTTATTTTTTCCAATTTTGAAGCAATGTGCCCAGTAACCACCCCCACCCCCACCACACACACACTTCAATTCACTTTGATTGATGGCCCACCAGTGGAGCCTTAATAGAACCTCACTTCTCCATCTCTGCACATTGACATGGGAATGTATCACTGACCCGTTAAATGTGCACTCACTGCATACACGCTCACACAACGGTGGAAAACCTACAGGAATATAAAAGTGCATGTGCTCCTCAATGTGTGCTGCAGCAAATTAATGCTAATCTAGACATTTTAAATTCCTTGAACATTCTTTACATTCCAAAAGGAGGACAACGAGTGTCATCTCCACGTTATTCATTACTGTTTTTTATTACTCTGTAACTGTGGGGCCGGGGTTTAAGAAAGGTCAGTGGAGGGGGAGGAGCAACCCTTTAAAACCACTTGGTTTCAAAAGGAAGATTTGAGGACAGAGGTCAAAATGAAAGGACGCGAGGTACTGAATGAAAATGGCAATAAGACAGAATAAGACCACACATAAAAAATAGCCAAACAAATAAATACATTAAAAAAGTAATTGTATGAAAGACAAACGCAACAGAACAGAGCACATGTTGGTGTCCTTGGTAGCAATGTTCTCTATGATCGATACGTGCTGACTAGCTGGTGTCTGTGTTGATAACCTGCTGCCCTGTTGAATGGATTTACTGAGTAGAAGCCATCAGCTCAGTCCTTCCCAATACTGCCAAGTCTGTCAGGCAAACACAGATTAACCTGAATACTCCAGATGTCAATCAGTGAATAAAGATCCCAATTTAGAGTCCATCAGATTGAAAACATCTTCAGGTTAAACCGTCTTCAAGTGGAGGCATCAACATAAGACAGAGCTGCACGTCTATAAAGGAGCATGATGGATCTGCAGTTGGGACAATGTACAACTTCTTGTTGGAGGTGTAATCCTATTCCTTCTGCACTGCTGGTGTTGACGAGGGGATCCGTGTCCAACGAACGACTTGGAACCAATGTTGGGGTGGGGGTGAACAGAGAGAGGCGGCATCTCAGGATAGCTCATGGAGGACTGAGATGACTCTAGCCCTGATAAATCACAAGAACAGAGCTAATGATAAACTACCAAACACATCTCCAACAACAGGGTGTGAATCTTGAGGTGCCCTGAGATTTACAGAGATGCACACACACGGACATGCAATAAATAAAAGATCTGCAGTAAAATCCAGGAGAAGCAGCTTGTGATAATAACTAACTGAAAACAGACAACACTAAAGACGAGGCAGAATTTTCAACTGAGCGGAAGGGGTCGCTTTTAAAAGCTAATGGACTTTGAGGAGCGTGACAACAGAGATCGCTTCTCACAGCTGGTTTCTGTTGCTGCTAAAAACCAAACAAAACTAGACACCAGCTCTGACATTCCTCTGACAAGCCTCTCTGTAGTGGTCAGTGAACATGGAAATTAAACAAGTCAGAAAACTCTGGTCGTCACAGAATAACAGGGTGAGAAAGATTGTTTTCATGGGTGGTGGTGGTGGTGGTGGTGGTGGTGGGGTGGGGGGGAGTCATAAAAGATGCTTTAATAGTGTCAACGTCTAAATCAGTCATGCTTGGCTGAGCCTTAGATGACAGAAAAACAACTAGCAACAATAAAACTACTTGTCTGTATTTTTTAACATATTTTACTTTTAGATGAATCCTTAGCTAAATATGTTGCTCCTGATAACTTAACGTGTAAACTTTATCGGTCTAAACTGAGTTTTTTCAAAGCTATTTACAACAGGCAAGACTGATCAGAACTTTTTAAGAAGAGTTTTGGAAACATTTCCGAGTAGAACAAAAAAAAAACTAAAAGTGAATTGTCATTAAAATCAGTGTGACTGAGTTATTACTGGGAAAGCAAAGAACTTCAAGTGTAAACCCAACAACTTTAACTTCAGTTAAAATATCTTGTTGATGGTGGAAAACTTTTTTTCCTGTGCAGTTCAGATAACATTGTGTCAAATATGCAGCAAGAGGGCGAAGCTTACAATGACTGAAACAGGGAAAGAAAATCTTAACAAGTCATTAATTAAGGTTGTTGCAATCAAACCTTTACTTCAGAAGCCTGATCTTGATTCAGGAATTGTGACCACTTATGGATCTATATCTAATCGAACATTCATATCAAAGATTCTGGAGAAAATAGTTGCAAATCAATTGTGTGAACATCTGAACAGAAATAATCAGTTGGAGGAATTTCAATCAGGGTTTAGAGCTCATCATAGCACAGAAACATCACTGGTGAAAGTTACCAATGATATATTCATGGCCTCTGACAAATGACAATGGACTTGTGTCTATACTGGTCCTGTTGGACCTCAGTGCTGCATTTGATACAGTTGATCACAATATTTTACTACAGAGACTTGAATATGATATTGGAATAACAAGAACGGCTCTGAAATGGTTTAAATCATATTTATTTGATAGATTCCAGTTCTTTATACACCAAAGTTAGTCATGGAGTTCCTCAGGGTTCAGTGCTTGGACCAATACTCTTGACTTTATATATGCTTCCATTAGGAAATATTATTAAACAACATGGGATAAATTTCCATGCTATACTGATGATACACAGTTGTATTTATCAATGAAACCTGGTGAATCAAATCAGCTTAGACTACAAGCATGTCTTAAAGACATAAAACCTGGACGAACCTGATATTTTTTGCTTTTAAACTCAGACAAGACTGAGGTTGTGGTTTTTCAATCTGAGCAGTTTAGGAATAAATTTTACAGCATTTCACTTCCTCTGGGTGGCAATAATTTGGCCTCCAGTTTTAATGTTTAAAACCTTGGTGTTATTTTTGATTAGGATATGTCTTTAACCCCCACCCATCGCCCCAAAAAGTAAAAAATAAATCAATTAAAATTTAAAGAAGTTACCAAGACCCCTTTCCACCTGCGTAATATCACTAAGTTTACAAACATCTTGTCCAAAAATGATGCAGAAAAACTAGTTCATGCATTTGTCACGTCTAAACTGGACTATTGCACTGGTTTATTATCTGGGTGTCCAAATACTTCTGAAAAAGTCTTCAGTTGATCCAAAACGGTGCTGCCAGAGTCTTAACTGGAGTTAGTGGGAGAGATCATATCTCTCCAGTTTTAGTTTCTCTCCATTGGCTCCCTGTCAAGTCCAGAATTGAATTAAAAATCCTACTTCTAACCTACAAAGCCCTCAACAACCTAGCTCCATCTTATACTACAGATCTTATTGTTCCATATTTTCCTAACAGAGCACTTTGTTCTCAGACTGCAGGTTTACTTGTGGTTCCTAGAGTTTCCAAAAATAGAATGGGAGGAAGATCTTTCAGTTATCAGGCTCCTCTCTTGTGGAACCAACTTCCATTTTCTGTCTGTAAGAATGACACATTAAACTGGGACTTAAGACTTTCCTTTTCGATAAATCCTGTAGTTAGGGTTGGCTTGGGTTTCCTGAGATATCCCTTAGTTACGCTGCTATAAGCTTAGACTGCTGGAGGACAAACTGACCTCATTTCCTCAACATGCTGCAGTCTTTACTTATTCTACTCTACCCATTTGTATTTGTAATTGTTTCCTTAACATGTTTGTTTTGTCTTTCTTCCAATAGAAAGTACATCTGGACCATGTCATAGATAACTAGATAGACAACTTTTACTCATTGGCTTTTATAATGTATGTACATGTTTTTGTACACTGCCCTGTTGTGACTTGGTGCTATATAAATAAAATGAATTGAATTCATTGGATGAATTAGTTTACCCTCACAGGAGTTCTTTCTGTCTGAAAATTGTCCAGTAGAAAACGTCCTCTCAGTCTTGTAAAGCCCCCTCCAGTGTTTTCTGCACTGATGGAGCTTGAAGCAGAGGTGACTGAGAGAACTCATTGTATTC